GATATAGGGTAGACTGGTATATAAAAGAGGGTGACAACGTGACGGGAGAATAATGTAATAATGTGTGTGCAGATAGTGAGTAACTGAACTGCAGTCACAGGGTATTGTTGAAGTTAACGTTCGTTCGTTATAGTGTTTGTTTTAGCGCGAATATTGGAATTAAGTATATCGTAAAGTTGTATTCGGAAAGAATAAACCAGTTTTATTAAGTAAGGACTTGTGTCGCTATAGTTTCGTCGGAAACGAAGTTACGGAAAAATCAATTAACAAACGGAGACGTAACAATATCATAGATTACACGGCTCACAATACGTTTTGTTTTGTCAGGGTTACTATAAATGTTTCGTGGACAGATATATATCATCTACTTAAAATGTTGCCATATAGCTTTTACTTATACCTTTGTTGTTTACTACCCTAGAAAACACACACACTTATGTATTAACTCGCTACATATATTTATGAAAACAACGTAGTAATGTCACACTTCTGTACACAGTGTTAAGTCACATTCGTCTTGAATCATTCTAGACTGAATTTTTGGAATCGAATATGATCTACTATTACTTCAAGGTTCATTTGGTAGGGCAAAATGATTAAGTCAAGATCGAACTTGTTTGGAATCAAATATAACCTACTGTTACCTCAAGATTCATTCCGTAAGGCCAAATGATCAAGTTAAGATCAAACTTCTTTGGCATCAGATATAAACTTCCATTACCTCAAGATTCATTTCGTAAAGCCAAATGATCAAGTTAAGATCAAACTTCTTTGGCATCAGATATAAGCTTCCATTACCTCAAGATTCATTTCGTAAACCAAATGATCAAGTTAAGGTCAAACTTCTTTGACATCAGATACAACTTACCATTACCTCAAGATTCATTTCGTAGAGAAAAATGATCATGTCAAGATCGAACATGAGGTATACACCTTCTGAATCTCTTGATCTGGGCAGTTTACATGCCACATTAGAAAATCTGCGCCACGTTTATATATGTATATACATATTAGTATCAATGACTGGTCTCAAAATACTGGTGACACTTTGATTACATCAATCCGTTACAACTTTATTTCAATTTTGTTATCTCCCAGTCTGCTCGTTATTAGTGTTCAGAACAATAATTGTGGCTAGTTTCTCTGTATGTTAGTTCATTTCTTCGTTACTTTCCTATTTATTCTTATTGGAACCAACGTTAAAGAGGAAACTTAATTCTTATTAAAAACGATTATATTAATTTTTATCGTACATACTTGTTTCTTAATATTTCTTTCCATTTCCTGGTATGTTTGGCATGATTTCGTCTTCTACCCTCACAGAATTCGCCAAAGGTCAAGAGAAGGAGAACGAATGACAAACGATAATATAATGAAAGCAGTCTCATAGTCACAAATGTCTCGGTCACCTAAGTAACCAATTTTTTTCTTTCTTCCTGAAAAGACACAAAATTATAATGATTATTTTCATTACTTAACATGAAATTATAATTATTGATTAATACTTATCATTTAGAGATCAAACAGTATACTGTACGACGGTTTTTTAAATTAAATTTCAAATCTTTTATGCGGATGTAATGTTGAAAAGGTCATAGACTTCTCAGTCGTTGATGACTCATAAACCTCTTTATATATTTCGTATTAAAACGTGAATTACCAGCTATTCTGCCGCGTTCGCCTGTTCTCATAGCACTATTACAACACTTATCCAAGATACCAGTTAACACGAGGAATGTCTAGAAAATAAGAAACGTTTCAGTGACACTCAACTGAATTATTTTATTGCTTGTCGTTAACTGCATCATTGCTTGTAACTCTGTAGAATTAAACAAAAAATGGTGGCAGTTACACCATGAGCATGTTAAACAGATCGTATCCATATTTGTGTGAACCACTGTCAATCAACCAAAAACATTTTTAAGTCAAAGAAATAAGTATCGTAAGCATTCCCGAGACATCAGAAATGTAACAATAACAAGGAATTGAAATTTTGTTTGTATTAAAGAAAAACAAATTGTGTTTTAAAATATTGAGACGAGTCACAGATAGGTCTTTTTTACTTTCGAGGCTACGCATTTGGGTTTTAATTATTTATCTTCTTCCCTGATGGACGAGAATAGTAAAACGTACCGCATTTTTTGGTGTATAAGAAGCATTTTTTTACCCCAAAATTTGATGTCCAAATCTGCTTGCGTCCTACACACCGAAGGTATGAATAATATATACGTATATATACGATATACACAAGCCATGTGTAATAATGGCTGGAGACGGCTTGAATGGGTAATGAAGAAAACTTGAATATAAGTTTAATCAGGTACCTGATGATGACAAAACCTTGTCGAAACGTTGTACTTTTGCTGTTATGTTAAACTTATATTAAAGTTTTCTTCATTACCCATT